AATGACTTGAGTTTTGTGCCCAAATAAATTTTTTGTTAACTTTTTAATATTGTAAAAAAATAGTAAACTTTTTGAGCACTTCTCTTTATTACAATAACTTCATAAATATATAGAAAGATAAAACTAAAAATAAAATAAAAGAATAATATGTGACTAATAGACTTGCAATAGGGATATTTATTAGGTGTTGATTAAAAATAATGGTGAAAAGCGCATCATCTAAATTTATTCTTACATCAAATGCATGAACCCAACTAAAAATATTTGGCATAACTCAGATTTGTCCATTTTCTATTTCGCGCTATAAAATTTTTATTTTTTAATAATGTTCTCTTACATTTTATAAATCGATAAAATTCAAATCTGAGCAGTCGTCTCCCAACGAAGTAACTCAAGTTCCAATCGTAGCAATGCCAATTCTATTCATATACGCAATGAAATAAAACAAATTCCCAGAAGTAAATGGGCCACAAACAATGATTAAAAATTTCAAAAAAAAAAAAACTTTGTGACATTCCTGCTAGCTTATTTTAGAACGTTTGATCAGTCAAGTCAACCCAAACGTTTTTTGAAATTTATTCTTCGGTTGACTTTACCTTTCACGCCAGTCAGTTGACTGAGCCATTACCGTGCCTGACTGCTAAGCCAATGGTTGCGGGTTCGAATTCCGCTCAGGGCAGGTCTGTTGATTTCTGTGTTGTTTACTATTGTGTGATGTGTGAATGTGGCCGACCCTGTGAATGGGTATCTGTGGAAGAGTGTGACGTAAATAATGCTGCTCGCCTCCGTGACATATGTTCGCAGGTGCCAACCGGGTAACTTTAAATGAGCATTACTCCCGGCATCTTTCAATGTGAAAAACGAAAGTTCAGTGCCTGCCGTTGAAAAAAAACATTGTTCTCATTCACGTTCAGTCGTTCAGTTAAGAAACGTTGTGTTCAAAAAATTATTTCATTATAAGACTCTCTTGGAGAAACAGTCCCGCAGTGGACTGATCGTCAAGACACGGTTCCCAGCACATCACCGAAGTCAAGCACGGCTACGGTCAGTGAGCGGGTGGGTGACCACTTGGATCAGTCTGCGTAGGGACCGAGGGTGTGCGGTATTGATCCTCGTTAAACTGTGCTACCGTAAAGTGCTCGACTTCTCGCGCAGGTCGTCGGGCTACCGAAGCGGGGGTGCCCTCCCCTCCGCAGAGGATCAAAATTGTGATGGCATGTCTTCGGATCATCATCCGGGATGTTTCCCAGACCGTCGCCAATAGCCCATTGTGCAACTCTAGTGCGACGTAAATTAACAGCAACAACAACAACAACTCTTGGAGAAATAAAACATGCTTATCCATTGTCTTAGCTGCCAGCTTGCACTGCCGTTGAGAAAAAAGTTTCTTAGTGGTAGTAACGTTAAAGAGCAGCACTACCGTCATCTTCCGACGCAAAGAACGAGTGTTCAGCGCCTGCATTAATTATAAAAATAAAATCAAAAAATTTAAAAAGAGAAAACTTTACCTTTCATGGAAAAGTTATCTTCACTTGAAATAGGAGTATTGTCTTCTAAGTTGATCTGAAACCAAAACGAAATATCATTAGAAATTTAAATTAAAATTTAAACTTGATTTTGTTAAAAAGAAAAAACAAATATTTTTTTATTATCCTGCATTTAAAGTGAGCTAAATAATGTTTTCATAAGAGAAGTTGATCAATTTTTGTCAACATGCACGATAGTGTTCGAAAATTTTAATTCTTCATTCTTAATTTTAAAAATTTAATTCAATTTAGCACATTTCATCTTAATTTCTACAAAATAAATTCTTTTGTATGGGTTCAGTTTTAAAACTTTAACTTGAACACGGTAGGCAAATCTAATACAAAGCTTCCAAAGGGTTGCTATGAACCTGGAAAAAAATCACACAGTGGTTGCTAAGTTTTCTAAGTACTATTGAAAAATGCTTTTTTTAGGATTTAAAAAAAAATTCCACAAGTTAATCCTTTCCATCACAACCAATTTCAGGTTAAATTTAAATAGTTAAAGCATTAGCTTCTGCTACCACAGTCAGGACATTCATCACAATCAAAATTTATCTGGGCGACTGAAGTCTTTGCTGTCGCTTCATTCTTATTGAAGAGACATACCTTCTTTCTTTGTCGCCTGCAGAACAGCGGTAACTATTGGTTTATTGGAATTATATACATTTGCAGGCTTGTGAGCTCAATTTAGGCTTATAAACCTTTGTCAAATAGAAGGTTAGATAGCACAATACAAAGAATGGCATCACGAAGATACATCCAGGGTGACAGCGGTATTCGAACCCACTACCTCCACGCTTTGCATAGCATTTAGCGAGTGACACCGCTCGGCCAGGAAGGCCCCACAGAGATAACTAGAAATTAATGAACGTTTAGAAGCAAATCATTTTAAGTGGTCTAGTGGTCTGTATTATTTTTGGATTAAATGTTGATAGACTGGCAGCTCTCATCAAGTAACTTACACTGCTCAGCAGAGATTTAACACCCTTGTGTCTGTATATATACACTCTATAACAAAAAAAATCGACGCACCGAGAAGCAATCATCCAATTGCTTTGAAATTTCGTATGCATGAATATTTTGAACAGATATGTCTAGAATGATTCCGACTGGGGACGTATTCTTAGGACGTATTCTTACTTAGCGACGAATCCCGCTTCCAACTGTGTTCCGACGATCATCGAAGACGTGTTTGGAGATGCACAGGGCAGAGGGGGGAACCTGCCTTCACTATTGCACGCCACATCAGCCCTCAACAAGGCATTATGGTCTGGGGTGCCATTTCCTTTGACAGCCGGACTCCTTTGGTCGTCATTAGATCACTTACTGCACAGCGGTACGTCGACGACATCCTAAGACCTGTTTTGTTACCGTTCCTTTTGCAGCTCCCTGGGCTGGTTTTTCAGCAGGACAATGCCAGACCACATACGGCACGTGTTGCTATGAACTGTCTGCAAGCTTGTCAAACTCTTCCTTGGCCTGCCAGATCACCAGATCTCCCTCACATCGAGCATGTCTGGGATATGATGGGAAGGCGATTGCATCTGACACGGAATGTTGATGACCTCGTTCTACAATTGGATCGAATTTGGCAGAAAATACCGCAAGAGACCATCCGGGAGCTTTATCGGTCTATGCCACGCCGTGTGGCAGCTTGTATCTAGGCTGGAGGCGGGTCAACACCTTAGTGAACTTGTTACTGTAACTCTGCAACTTGTACTGTACCGCACGCACGCACATACATACATACATACACACATACACACATACACACACACATACACACACACATACACACATACACACACATACATACACACATACATACACACACACATACACACACATACACACATACATACACACACACATACACACATACATACACACACATACACACACACATACACACATACATAAATACACACACATGCATACATACATACATACATACATACATACATACATACATACATACATACATATATATGTCATATTTAAATATCATATTTTTGAGTTTCTTAAATATTTTGTTACAAAGTATATTTCTGATTAAAAAGTTACTGAACTATTTCCAGAAACATGATTGTAATTTGAATAAAAAATTAAGCGAATCACTAAATAATTTTTAAAACTCCTACTCAATTTTTTTACAAATTTATATTTTAGTCATCTTTCGTATAATAAGTTCCAATTAACCAAGACATAATTTTCATGGAAATAATTCTTGTTTCGCTAAACATGTTTATAGGAAAAATTTAAAAGTCTTAGAATGCAACAATATTTTTTATTCTCACCAATATTATATGAACATTGCTAAGATAGAAAACAAAATACCTTGTAAACATAAAGTTTAAATTGATAACGGAAACGCTTGCATTTTAGCAGTTAGTTTAGCAGTTACTGACAAAACTTTTCGAAAAACTTCAGTTAATACAACTTAACATGATATTGCCATAACTTTTAAAAATTTGTAATAATAAAATCAAACTTATTTCTGTAATGTTCAGTTATGATTCGAGAGTTTAAAACTTTTTTTTTTCACCAGAGTCATCTTTTAAAATTCTGAAGAAAAGAAGTCAAATTAAATGAGAAAAAAGAAATGAAATGAACAGAAACAAAAAAAAAAACTATCGAAATAAGCAAGCTTTAGATTGCCAGATACTAAAAGTATGATGGCGAATAAGGAAAATCACCGGTACCTTGCCAGACATTTTAAAATTGCTGACTATCCAAATCCGTCACCGATCCGCCCACTTCGGTGACGAGCTTGTCATCAGTGGTGACTCCCAAACGTCACCGAGACACTCTTACGTATAGTTCCAGTTATTCTTACAGTTAAATTGCTCTAAGTTCATTAATATTAACATGGTTACATGTAATACTCTTCTTTTCTTTAGTCTAGAACAAGGGTTTCCAACCAACTTGAGGCCGGGGGCCGCAATTAAAAACACTAGTCAAATGGCGGGCCACAACTTTATCAAAATTTTATATGGGACTCTTTTATGTTTGAAGGAACATTAAATATTGCTGTCATAAAAGTTTTTTCATAAAAGTTTTTTTAATATTAAAAAAATAACAAGCATTACAAATAATGCATGTTACGTATCATTTTGAATCTTCTCTTAATCTGAAATTTAGTGACAAGATTTTTTTTTACTTTCAAATTTAATTCTGTGATAAATTAAAATTTTTTCGACTTATTAGGAATTATAGCAACAACTAAAAAATTCTCGAGCACCTGAAATAAATTTTTTTCCGCTCATGTGATGTTCAATTCAAGCAATTTAGATAAAACATGATATTCATTCCCTCTTTTATGCACTTTAAAATTTACAAATGTAAAAAATTTCGTCCAGAATAAATGGTTTCATAAAGCTAAATTGGAGAATTTCTGATACGCACATGCTTAATTATGTTCACAAAATAAAAATAAAATTAGAAAAAAAGAAACAAAAAAGAGAGCAACATACACGATTATTTTTGTATTTGAATAAATATTTTCTTGGATGCAAAACCTGAGAAATAAACAAATTTTTTTGCACCGTTGGAATGCTAAATTTCACAAATGACAAAAAAATGGGTTTTTTTTTTTAAACGAGAAAACTATTTAACGTCCTTATAGATTTTTTACGAAAATTGTCCGCTATGTAAACTAATATATTTTAGTTCGTGGGTCACAAAAAAAGGCTTCGAGGGCCGGATGCGGCCCGCGGGCTGCCAGTTAGAAACCCCTGGTCTAGAATGTTGAAGAATTTCATTGATAAGGCTACACGCATGCGTGACAAATTTTATCATTATTGGAAACTATGTTCTAAGGATCACTGTACTAGTTACCGTGAAAAAGTACAAAATAAAAATAATTCTTTGCAACTTATATGCAAAAAAGTTAATTTTAAGAAAATAAATACATGGTTTACTTACAGGTTTAGGAAATCCTTTCATTATTTCTGGAAATATATACTTGTCCAAAACTGGGTATCTACGTTTCCTATGGTTTGCTCTACAATACAAAATTTAATTTTTTAATTTGACGAATAAATAATTTAAATTTTAAAGAAATTGTTAGATATCAACAAACATGAAAGAAATGTTTAGTGGAGTTGAAATTTCGATACACAAGACTTACCTATTCCCCCTTACGTTGCTCAAGCGCAACACTGGGTGTAAAAAGTTCGAACAAAGAGAGAAGCAAAAAAAAGAACTTTTTTTTTTTTAAATAAGAGAAATTTTCCTTTAATTTGAGTTGATAACTTCAATAGCACTAACTTCCACAAAGTGCACTTTTTTCAAAAAATTTAAAGTGGTAGAGAATTAAAAGCTATTGCTGACAGAGTTTTAATTCATTTTATCAAAGCATTAAAAGCCTTTTTACGAGGAGACGGAGAAAAAATGGACATATAGTGAACCGCCAACTACTACGCTTTTCGAAAAATGTCTTATAGAGTGGTAGCTAATTAAAAGTTTTAGAGTGGTAGATAATTAAGTTTTTAGAATTTTTAGTAATCTTGTTTAGGATCCTTACAATTAGAGTAACAACGTGGAGATTTCTACATTGAAACATAAGCTTAGTTACTTCAAGAAGAAATTGTCCCCAAAAGCGTCAAGAGTTGACGATCCTGCATATGTGCCTTTGAATTATGTATATACAAAACTCGCAGTTACAACACTTTATGAAAAATATTTTGAAGTATAGAAGATTAAAAACTAAAGCATTTTGAATTTTTAATATTTTTGCTAACATTTTAAAAGTCACATAACAAGAGAACTGGAAAAAAGTGGTGTTTCTTATGAGCTTTTGAATCATTTACCTGTAGTATTACGGAAAATAACTTTAAATCAAATTTGCAAAACGAATGATCATACAAAAAAACATAAATTTATCTACCAGTAGAAGAAATTCTCCTTAAACGCCAGGGAACTGGGAACCCTGCCAGTAGCATGCCCCGAGTTTGGTATAGTGGTATCGTGCACAAACTAATTAATTTAATCTTTCCCTATGGCATTGTAAAAATAATACATAACTACTTATCAAACCGAACATTTAATGATAACCTTAATAGTGTTACTTCTTCCAGAAGAAATATAATTGCGGGTGTTCTCCAAGGGAGCATTCTGGGACCGATACTTTTCATAATTTATACCCACCTTTTCCCCTTTTTTCGCAACTACCACAACAGTATCACGGCGTTGTACGCCGACGATACTGGAATTCTGCAGAAATCTCTCAACCCAGATAATGCACTTCAAAAACTACAGGACAAGTCATACTATGTTGAAGACTGGTGCCTAAATTGGAAGTTCAAACTCAATGCTAGTAAATAGCAACTATTAATAATACAAAAGAATAGAAAGAACTTTTCTAATAAATATCAACTAGTTGTCTTTAACAACACCATGCCCATTGTTAATAAGGCTGTACATTTAAGCTTGACCATTAATAAACAACTCACCTGGTTTTATCACATAAATAACATTAGAAATAAAGTATACGCAGCAACCAACAAACTTCAAACCATTTTCCATAATCGACACCCCAGTTTAAAACTGAAAAAAGAAAACTCTTGTAAACCTCTATGTTACGACCCATCATGAAGTACGCCTCACCTGCCTGGTGAAACGCAACCTAAACAAACTCATTGTACTTCAAAACAACATCCTGAGAAAGCTCACGGGAGCCAGATGGTTTAACCGAAACAACGCCATACATAGAGACCTTAACATTGACCGCTTTGACCAGCACTTCAATAAATTAAATAGAAACTTCTTTTGCCAATGCCGCCACCTGCGATTCCAAAAATTTTAACGATATTTTCGACTGCATTAATCTCAAAGAGGATGCACAGCTAAGATCCATAGCACACTTTTACACTTCTGATATCACACTAACACTTAACAACACAAACACTCACTGAGTTATTTACACGCAGATTTAGCTTATCCCTGTGAAAAAGCAACCCCTCGGGGTCTGATCAGGGGTAAACTAATCCCTGTAACCCGTCACGAGTGGTAATTACTAGGAAAGTCGGGTCTCTACTTTAACAGAGCCACACATACCTGCACATATGCATACATCCTCACATTCCTTTAACTCGCCCCCCCTTTTTTTATATATTCCCAAACTGTAAATATTCCTCAGTACTTATTTTCTCACTGTACTTTAATTTTACCTTTTTTCATGTACTTTTTTATTACTTGTATTTCTGTTATTACCAAATAATGGCGAAGTGCCACTTTTTTTTCTTCCACGATCTCCATTTTGCTCCCCCAAACTTTATTTTTGTCATCTACGTTGCTTAGTCTAATTTCAGGATGAATGGAAAAAGGGCCGTTAGGCCTCAGAAGCCCAGTTCCACTACAACGAATGAGTGAACGAACAGTAGTATGCCCTAACAACTACAAAATTTCCATAGTTCAGAAGAAGCAAATGTTTCCTGTAGTTGCAAAATGTGCTAATATTCCAATAAATAAGAATTAAAATAATTTGGTCCACCACTATATATAAATTATAGAAAGATATCTACATGGACAAATAGTCAGATTTTCAATTTTGCTGGAAGCTTTATAAGAGTTCTATTTGCCTTAAAAATTTCGGCCTTTGCTTAGCACCACTGGAAAAATATTTTGCTGAAATTTCAAACATTCGAGAGAATAATGTAGCGAAAGGAAAAATTGCCAGAGCAATTTGTATGCCGGAAAAAATATAAAATTAGTAGTAAAACCACATTATATTTAATTTGTTTTCGGTAGAAATCAAGAATCTTGGCTACCGGGTCATACACAAAACTGCTTCGTACTTTGAAGCAAATCTAACATCAGTGTATCGATAGTGAACGAATAATTAAGATGAACTATACAGATTGAATGCATTTCATCAGCATCTCTACACTGATGATGTTATCGTAGATAGCACTGATCTGATAATGTTAGGGACTGTTGATGGTCATACCGAAACGATTTTCTACCTTACAAAATTTTTTTTGTGCTTCATACGTTTCTTACGTTTCATTAATAGTTTAATGATGCATCAAATAATTAAAAATAATTGTAAATTATTCAACCTTGCAATTATTTTTGGTGATCTTGTCTCTAAAATTTCTCTTATTTCGTCCACAGTCATAAAGAAGAGTAGATCTTCGTCTGGTATTCTACCTTCTGATACCATAAGCTTTGCTAGGTGATAGTAGCCTTTTCTCCATTCATCTTGAGTCTTGATAAGCAGTGACTGTGTAAAAAAAAATTCATATATTTGCTTTAAAAATGAGTAAACTTCACAGACAAGTTTTCTTAACTAAAGTTTACGTCTAAACACTAAAAGCTATCAAATAATGTCATCTTGGAAATTGTATTATATCAAAAATAAATAACTGAAAATTAGGAAATTATTATTGAAAAAAGTGGATCACACCGCCTATGCTTACCCCGCTATTTCATTTTTCATTTTATTTTAGAACCGTCGTTGAACAGCAGACCCAATTTCGAGTTCTCGACTCAACTCCGTAGAATTGTAATTTTGAACTCAATTTAGAAACAAGGGAACTCATGGATTAATAATTTGACGTCTATATGGAATTTTTGTTGAAACTAAGCCGTACTTGCGTCACGGTTAGCCTGACGGCAAGGGAATTCTCCCATGATTCGTCTACCACTGAGGATAGTTTACGTCAACACTGTGGTCAGTGTGAGCCGGGTGCAGAATTTGTATTGACCAGCCATCATTGGAACTCGAACCCGGTTCACATCATTGGAAGGCGAGTGCTTTATCCCCTGAGCCACAACGGCTCTTCACCCCGATTTTTCTTCTTAATTTTATTTTATAACCGTCGTAAAAAAGACGACCCAATTTACTGGGGGAAGTATTTTCTAAATATTTGATAACATGTAAAAGTCATAATTTCAATAGCTAGTTAACTCCATTTACTTTCATGTTCATGCGAATCATTTCACTCTTTCTCTGTATAGTACATTTTAAGGCAATTCAAGTCGTCTGTCAAACAAAAAGCGCCATCACAATACAGAGGAGATAGGAAAATCCATTCACTCTTTAGACTTAAAGGCTTAAATTTCACACTATTCTGAAAATGCCTTAGTATGTTGATCAAGAGAAAAAAAGAAACCCCCTGAATAACTTTTGATCTAATGATCGAATTTTCACGTGATAGGATTAAGCCTTAATAGTTAAGTTCCCATAACAAATCAATACCTCGGAGGCACTGGATCGAAAAATTAATCGCGCACCCCGAATAACTTTTCATCTAATGATGGTATTTTCACGTGATAAGATTAAGCCTTAACAGTTAAGTTCCCATAACAAATCAATACCTCGTGGGCACTAGGTCGGAAAATTAATCGCGCTCTGATTCAAGTCAAAATTACTATTTGCGGATTGATGGATGGTGTGTAGATGTGCCCTCCCTGTATGTGACGTATGTATGTTGACTCTGGATCATCCTCAGGAATGATCGTCACCCACTGCGCAGTTCTAGCGTGACGTAAACAAGAAGTACCGAGTACTTAACAAATATGTTAAATAAAAAAGGTAGACGATATTTTAAGTTACGAAATTGTACTCAAAATAGTACTTTCTTAGAATAAACATTCATTTTTCTTAACTGATTATGATTTCTGATTCCAAAAAACAGACATAACTGCCATTTAGGAAAGACGGTCCTAACAGTTTGATCAGGGCAACAAGTCAAACTTTGATTAACTTTAATTTTACTTTTTTGTGCTTCGTCTTGTAAAATCTTGCAGCGAATTGAAAAAATTTTATGCACACAATTATAAAATTCGTTTACCCAAAGATAGTTCCACGCAATAAATAATTTTAATAACTATTTATTATACTTTATTAATTTTGTATTGGTATTTATTTATTTATTTCATTTATTATAAAATAAATGAATGGTCGAAAGAATTGTATTTCAAGAAATACCAATTTTTCCATCATTTTAAAGAATTTAATTTTATGTGACAAAGTACAAAATTTGAACGAAATTGGTTGAATAGTTCTTGAGAAATAGAATTTTAAAGACATCAGGCATTTCAAATTAAATTTTTCTGAAATTATAAGACCGATTTAGTTCAGAATTTGAATTTTTCTATACACAATTCTTTATATAGAAAGCAATTCGTTAAAATGATGATAAATTCTTTAAAATGATATAAAAATCTGTGTATCGTACAATTAAAATTTTTTCGAGAATAATTAAATAAAATAATAAGTAATTATTAAAATTATTTATTAAGTAGAATTATCTTTGGACAATAATTTCATAATTGTGTGCAAAACTGTTTTTGATTCATTTAAATAATTCTCGCTTTGTGGCAAAACACTCAAAAAGTAAAATTAACAGTAAGAGGTTTAAAACTTGAATCTCTGTCCTGACCAAACTATTGATAACATATTTTTCAAATTGAGGCTATTCCTTATATTTTGAGGGTCAGAGATCCACCAAAAGTGTTTCTTTTTGAGAGAAAATGCTTTTTTGTATCTCATTTCGTAATTTAAAATATCGTATACCGTCTGCACTTATCATTTAGCCAATTTGAGGTCACCCCCATAAAAATTAAGATTGAGCCCTAGTGGGTGATAATCCAATCATAATATCTAAAGTTTTTCAGGGCATTTAATTTCTTTTTTTTGGGGGGGGGCACTGTACTTCAATTAATCATGGATAATTTAATATTGCAATATAGTTGCCTGCAAATTCTACTCCTTCAAAGCATTACTCCCTCACACTTAATCCAATTACAAACGCAGCTCTTTAAATAACAAAAAAGGGAGGAAAAAAAGAAAGAAAAAAGGATAAAAAAGACTATTATGGAACTCCACTGGTTGATAAAAGTGACTTACGAGCCGACGGGTGTCGCAGTTGTATATTTGACCTGTAGTATATTTGCTAAAAAGTTTCAAGTGCAAAGCCCTTATTGCAAAGTTGTAAACGTTTCACAAAATTTGCTGCTATGGGTGACATGAAAATATGTTCTGAGATCAATAATTGTTAAAATAGAAAAGCTTATATTAAAAGTAGTGTATACAAGTGATTACCCAAGTCAAAATTTCTAATGGTTCTCCATTGATGGACCAACATAATCTTGATGGTGACCATCAATAATTCTATCATGAAGAATTATATTTTTTGATGGTAATCAATAAAAGTAACCATAAACCCAAAATAGGAATTCGGACTGATTACATAAGAATAGCAACTTGTTTTGATGGTTTCTTGATGTTTCTTGATGCATCAGAAATTTCCGTCATAGAAATCAAATCTTGGAATGGTCATGAACCACCATCAGCTCAATATGGGAATTTGGACTGATTTATGATGAGCCAACATAAAAAAACAATTTTTTTCATGGTATATTCCTGTTGAACCAACAAAAATTCCCTTTAAACCATCATGGAAATATATAGTTGAAACCATCAAAGATCATCGCGAATTGTTGGTTCGCGAGAATCAAACTTCTCTTGTTGGTTAACCATCATAGTATTCAGGTAGTATTTTCCATCATGCAATGATGGAAGCTTGCTGTCATATCAAAAACCACGAATGCGTAATGGAAAATGCTGGAAGGCTCAGGGGATGTATCTTTCACCTTCCAGTGAGGTAAACCGGGTTCGAATCCCAGCGATGGCTTGTCGGTACGAATTCCGCATCCAGTCTGACATGCGATAAAAAACATTGTTTTATAGTACAATCTGTTGAGGAATAGTGTAATAAATTGGGAATCTTGCTAAGAATAATTCTGGTTTCTTAAGCTGAACGTAAAAAACTACTGGACACTTCTCGATACAGGTTATTAAACGTATACACATTCTTTTAACGATAGCATGCAAAATAAATTATAATACAATTACATGAAATAAACATTATTAATAACATAATTATTGATTTTTCAAACCATTGGATGTTTTCAGGGCAATAGACAATGGCAATAAACATATTATTATTGTTTCGAGATATTATAAATTCCAAAGTATTAAGTTGAAATTCAGCATTTTTTTTAAAATTTAAAATCATTACTTACATGAAAATACTAATTTAAAATAGCTAAAACTTGATAAAAAAGTTTTTTTACTTTTCTAAACTTCATATCATTTATACCTCTTTTTTTTAATATTAACCAATTTAACTTTCTTCTAAATCATATATTTGTATCACAGATGGCTGACAACTCAGAAATCAAGCTCTTTCAGAAAACTCAAGAACTTCTGGAAACTGAAGAACTTTCCTCTCCAATACCCCTCAAGCTCTGAGCTCGGAAGGCATCACTTTCAAGTCAAGTTCACACTCAGAACAAGTTCCGATGTGTAAATATTATTCATTTTAAATTGTTTATCTTCCCAAGTTTCTGATGCCATTCTTTCGTCACTTCTTGGTAATAAACTCCAAGAAGTGGCAAATGCCGAAGGAATACACTTTTACACTAAAGCATTAGAACACAAAATTATTCATTAAACTTTGTTTTTCATTTTTAAGTTTTTTGTCCTTAAACCTCCTTGTCCATTTCCACCTGAAGTCAGTCTCAATAAGGATCTATTAATATATATATATA